AGAAAGAAGAGAGCTCCATCTCAAAATAGCAGACAGACCCCTCCAACTTCACGAGCAAGAAGGGCTCCGTTTACACCTCAGTCGGCAAGAAGAGACTTCTATTCTCTCTTACCTCCTTTTCCTCTTCAGACAGCAGATGGAAGAGAGAGCTTACGCTCAAGAGGAGAGGGTCATGCTCTAAAACAAGAAGAGAGCTTCCTCCAAGATACTCTCGGTAAGAGAAGAACTTTCTAGAAGAGAGCACAATTACTTCTTGGTATGTCGCCTCTTATTCTTGAGAAGATTGAAGAGACTTCCTTCTACCAGTTTTCAACAACAATGCATAAGTTCTCTGCCTTATCATCGACAACACGAGGAGAGCTCCCTGCACTTCAGCAAGAAAAAAGAGCTCCTCTGCGTCATGATTGGCAAAAAGAGAGCTTTTTTACTTCTCGCTAGAGGAAGAGATCCCCAGGCATGCCCTCTGCCCCATCAACTCAGAAGAGAGGACCCTCCAACTTCACGAGACAAAAGAGAGCTCCGATTGCCTTTTAGTCGACAGTAAGAACACTCCTTTCTTTCTTAAGGGGCGAGAACTCCTGAACATCTCCTCCTCTTCACCAAACATGGAGGAGAGCTCGCTCTCAGGACAAGGATGGAGCCGCCCCAACCTTCAAACCTTCAAAAAAGAAGTCTTGTCTTCGGCAAAATGCAGCAAATTTCGCCCAAGAGCACGTTGGCGAAATTTGCTGCGATTGCCTGTTTCCTGATTTACCCTAAAAACCCTAAACAAGTAACCCTAGACCCTAAATCACTAGTACTACTGCTAGTGCTACTACGACGACGACTACTACTACTACTACTACGACGACGACTACGACGACGACGACTACTACTACTACTACTACTCTGAGGTCCGTCCTTCGGGGGTGGGTGGGGTGCAGCCCCCCCGGCGTGGAGCTGGCTGGCTGGGGTTGGGTTGCTTGTTTCGGGGTTTTGCTTTCGGCTTCAGGTCAGAATTCATGTCAGACTGAATCTCCGGATTTCCTTGGTGAAGATGTTGTACATCTCTCGATTTTCAAGTCGAGCCATGCTGGCGGAGCATGTCACAGTGGCGCCTCAGTGAGTCCTGAAAGGGATCCAGATTGGGGTGGTCACAAAGCCCTCAACGGGGTATGAACCCTTTAGACCCTGCTATAGGTTGAAGGGCTAGTGCGACTGTGCGAGTGGAAAGCCTGCTATAGGCCCCCTCCATCAGACATCTTCCTTCTTCCCTGAGTTGGATCCCTTCTTGTTGGCGAATTGAGGCATCCTGACAGTCTCCCTTGAGCTGCCGAATGTTTTTTGAAGGGGCCTTCTCACAGTCGTTGGCATCGTGTTGCAATCAAAGCTTTTCTACTCGAGACCGGTCCCGACGCCCCGGAGCTTTGCGAATAGTACATGCCACCGCAAACACAAGCTGTAGCCTCAAATCCAAAGCAGCCCTCCAACCCTATGTACGTTTTTGTAGTAGTTTCATAGTATAAGCAAAGAAGCCCGTCAAATAATACATAAAGGTCCTTGCCACATATACATATATGAATATACAGATATACATATATGTACATATTATATATACATATAGATATATCTTAAACACGCCCCCTCTTTTGGCGATTCCGGGTCATCATATATCTGAAATACGCCCCCTCATTTGGCGGTTCCGGTTCATCATATACCTTACACACGCCCGCTCATATCATCATAGAACTTACATGCGCTCCCTCATGCAACGATTCCGGTTCATCGCCCCGCGTTGTTTTAAGCCAATCCCTCCGCCTCAAGGGTCCGGGGCTTCGTTTCGAGCTGCAACCGCCACATGAGTCATATGCGGGAGCGTGTTTTTAAGATATAATTGTGATTCTGATGAACCGGCATCGCTAAATGAGGGGCCGCGTTGAAGATATATGATGATCCGGAATCGCCAAATGAGGGGGGCGTGTTTAAGACGTATCGTCGCCAAATGAGAGGCCGTGTTCAAGATATAAGATGGCCCGGAATCGCCAAATGAGGGGGCGTGTTTAAGATACATGATATTCACCGGTATCGCAATCGCCATATGATGACCCGGAATCGCCAAATGAGGGGGCGCGTTTAAGATATGATGACCCGGAATCGCCATATGAGGGGCGTGCTTAAGATGTATGATGACCCGGAATCGTCAAACGAGGAGGCGTGTTTAAGAACTATATTAAATAACTATATGTATCTATCTATCTATCTATCTATATATATATATATGTGTACATATATATATATATATACGATGAACCGGAATCGCCCAATGAGGGGGCATGTTTAAGATATTATATATATATGTATATATATATATATATATATTCGTATGTATATGATGCACCGGAATCGCCATTGGAAGGCCCCAAGAGCTTTCTGCGAGGTACCTCTTCACCGAGCCCGCAACCCCTAAGGTTTCAATCCTGACAACGGATGAGCATGAGTTTCGAAAGTTTCTAATCGGTCAGGTTCTGGAGGCTGAGAGACCCTTGGAAGCCTGAAGACCGAAAAATCATAAACACCAACAAAATTACAGTACGCACAAAATATACAAGCAGACGAGGAGCACAGGCAGGACCAGGATGCCATGTTCCGAAACCCACAGGAACAAAGGCAAAACCGGAACACATCACAAGAAAAAACCAGACAACATTACCAAACAAAACCTCGCTCCCAAATGAAGCCAACCACAGATTCGGTGGTCTGATATCGTCTCCTCTGGGACCAGTAGGGGGGAGTGTTTGTGCGCCGGCACGGCCGTGACGGTAAACCGGTTCGGCTCAACTTGCGTTGGCTTGCTGGACAAAATCCTGGGGGAAAGGAGCGCAGGTGTAGGCAGTGGGACAGCGGACAACGATTCAGGGGCTTCTCCACACTGGTTGGGTGCTTCGGTTAGGTTATGGGAGGTGTCAAGTATGGGTGGCGTGTGAGTTGTATTTACGGGATCGGCGGAGAAGGCAAGTACGAAGTAACGTGGAAGTCGCCGAGCGGGCTGCTGAGATCGCTGCGCATCCGAGGGCTTGACAGGGGGTTGTGATTCGGGATGGTCATTGCATCATATTGCATCATGGCGTCTCCCTCCAACTTGGTAGCAGGCACAGCAATCATCGAACCCGACGCGTTCGCAGCAGTCGTCGGCCAGTGACAAGGCCATGCAGTGTGCTGCGCTAGGAGTGTGTCCTCCGTCCGTGTCTGAGAAACGAAAAGCAGAAAGTGAAATTAGAATTGTCTCAGCTGTCCTTGACCGTAGTTCCCAGCAGTCTTGTCATGTTGCGGGACGACGTGTTTGTCAGGTGCGGCCCTCGAGTGCAGGTCGCCCTATTCCAATTGGTTCAAACACCGGAGAGGCAAGCAGCAAGGCCCTGATGCGCTTTGCTTCCAAGATCTTCCAAGCCCCGAGAGTATGTCTTGCACGTCATCACAGCTGTGCTCGACTGCTTTGCCTCTGCAGGCCTCCAGCCCAACTCGTGAGATCACGTCGCCCGTTTCGATTCTTGCCAAGGACGGACGTAGAAGCGACTGCGCCACGACCAACAAGCATTCCGTTCCTCATAGCCACCGCAAGCTGGCACAGAAGTTTGCGCGATACAAGCAGAGGATAGCAGAGGGCTCGTTTAGGAGTCTTGGACCTCGGCCTATCTATGTTAAAGCCACCTTCCGCGTTCCAGATCTTTTGAGACCGCGTTTTGCTGACGTGGCTCTCTGGTGTTCTATTCAGCTTTGAACACTGCAGGATATGGAAAGAACGACGCCGGTTCACGCGGCCAAGTGAGTCATTACAACTTGTTAGCTTGGCTGCGACATCTGTTGCGGGAGCTGAATAAGCAGCAGCGACCTTCCCGAGAAGCATATGCCTATCGCTACTCAGTGTTCGGCCTCTTCATTCCTGCGACGGGCATGTTCTAATTTCATTGCAACCCTTTTCAAGAGGTGGTGTCTACACATGTGAAAGTCCAACACGATTACAGAGCCCTTCATGGTGGACACAACCTCTCCTGGGGCTTCTCGCCCTGATGGGACGGAGCTTTAATGGCACAGCATGCTCACAAAAACCAATTCTCAGCTCGTATTCCCAAAGCCTTCAAGCAGCGCAGCAAGTCCATCCTGACCCAGCTTCGCCTTGGAATCCTGCTCCCATAAAGGACAAGGCCATGTCAAACAGATGACACTTCGAATAAATCCATCTAATGCGACCTGACCAGTAAGACATACCAGATTTTTGCGGGCGAGTGTGGCCAACAAACTTTCTACTGAGAGGAAGGCCAAGCCTTCTCCTCAGGTTGTCGGGGGATGTATCTCCCGCAGGTTGCGAGGCTAGGCTTGTGCCGTTCTAGGCGGGTGCTAGTTGGGAGTGGACCTGTGTAAGACTGCAGCTATGCAGCATCGCAACCTCGATGCTAGCGTCGCCACCACGATGTGTCAAGCAGCTGCTCATCCTGTACGACACTCTCGGTTTTTATGGTCTCCTCGCATGTTTTAGGTAGTCGTGGCCTTGGCCGAGTAGCTACTTCGAGCTATGGCTATGACTGGTGGCATGGATGTTTTGATCGTGCCCTCGCAAATTCGAAGCTGATTGTCTTCTCCTATGTTTGGCAGCATGCTTGAATTTGCTGAGACACATCCAGCCGTGTCTGCGAGTCTTGTGAAGCTTCATTCCTGTGGGAGGGCTTTCCCTGCTGGCTCTCATGGCTGGGTGATTGCCTGGCCAATGCTCAAGCGTTTGCTGTAGCGCTGTACCACCGGCCACCGCGATGCCCTCGCGACAGTGGGTGAAGCGGTAAAAGGTGGTGACAGTTCACCGAAAGTGGACAACTAGAGCATGACACTGGTCCTTTCGACATTGCGTACTCTGTATGAAGTTGTATGAACGTTGCGAGGCTGGTGCTGTTTCAGGCCGAGCATTTCAAAGCTCAGGTGTGGAGCCGGCGATGTAACAGAGTCGCTACGGCGATAAAGATGCTCTGCACAGTCTCAGTGCCATGTCTCAGTCTGCCAGTCGCATTGGAGGCTTAGAGAGCTTTGACCTGCCGAGGCCAAGGCTGCGAGTGGCGGCTGAGAGGCGCAGCCTCGGAGTCTCCGCCTTTGAGACTCGCGGCCCTTGAGGAGCAGAAAGCAGGCTGCGGAGCTTGGCGTTTGAAGCTTCAGGCTGACCCAAGGCTTGCCATCTCGCGAGGGTCACGGTCAATCCGACCGGGTGCATTTCGTGAAAGCTTCATTTACGCATCCATACAGGGTGATAAGATCTGGAGCAAGCATGTACATAGGCTATCCCTGGTGTGCTCCGACCATTGGTCGCGATCGATTCGATCCATTCACCAGAAAACTGCATGCCCGCGAAATTGAGGGTGCGAGTTTTGAAGCAGGGTGCATCGACTTAGAGACTGGCCAACACTAAGTGGTCTGCTACTACTACTACTACTACT